AACTTGTATTTCTATGGCTGAGCTGAGATTTAAGTCCTGGTCTTCAATGCTGAAACCACCACTACAGTAGTTCAATAAATGGAGACATAGGGTACACCAGTGGTCCATGGACCACCAGTTTGTTTGTTTTTTTATGTCAGGAGTGACTTGAGAAACTGCAAGTTGCTCCTGGTGTAAGAGAATTGGCTGTCTGCAAGGACGTTGCCCAGGGGATGCCCAGATGTTTTGATGTTTTACCATCCTTGTGGGAGGCTTCTCTCATGTCCCCGCATGGGGAGCTGGAACAGGGGGAGCTCATTCATGCTCTCCCCAGATTCAAACCTCCAACCTGTCTGTCTTCAGTCCTGCCGGCACAAGGGTTTAACCCATTGCACCACTGGGTGCTCCTAGACCACCAGTGGTCTTCAAGGATGAAAATATGGCCTGCGGCCTCACCATTGCTACACTGTTGCCTTGAAGCCACATGGCAACGATAGCTTTTGGTCTCGCGAAACCCTCTTATAGTGCTGAAGCAACGGGGATGTCGGGAGGGGAGAGTCGGACTACCCATGAAAGATTACTACTACCACATCAACTCTAGATTATTAAATATGGTTTTCTGTGGGCGAGCAGATGGCGACTATTGGATGGCATATGTTCTGTATCAAAAATTAGAGCTGATGTGGTGTATCCAATGCAATTTTCTGAATCAGCACTCCAAATAACCAAATTGAATCTAAAGTCTACTACAAATTAATTTGTAACCCTTTTGGTACTAATGTTGGAGAGTGGTCCCTGGTCAAAGTAGTCCTTGGTTAAGTGGTCCTGGTAAAAAAAAAGTTGGGAACCACTGATCTACGCTGTTGAAATAATGCAGTTTGGCACCACTTTAATTGCCATTGTTCAAGGATATGGAATAATGGGAGTTTAACTTTCACTCTCAGAGTGTGGAGCCCGCAATGGTGCAATGGTTTAAACCCTTGTGCCAGCAGGACTGAAGACCAACAGGTCGCAGGTTCAAATCCGGGGAGAGAGTGGGTGAGCTCCCTCTGTCAGCTCCAGCTCCCTATGCAGGGACATGAGAGAAGCCTCCCACAAGGATGGTAAAAATCAAAACATCGGGGCATCCCCTGGGCAACGTCCTTGCAGATGGCCAATTCTCTCACACCAGAAGCAACTTGCAGTTTCTCAAGTTGCTCCTGATGCAAGAAAAAAACTGTCAGAGTGCTGGTGCCTCATCAAACTACACATCCCAGGACTCCATAGCATTGAGCCATAATGTTAAAGTAGTGTCAAATTGAATCAGTTTTACAGTGTAGATGCAGTCATACTCTCAAACCTCTGGAAGACCTATCATTTCCAACACAAAAGCTCACAAAAAGAGCACGACACTCTTTACTATTCTTTTATCTGCCACTGAGGCCCCTTCTACTGCCGTAAAAATCTAGATTATATGCTATGAACTGGATTATATGGCAGTGTAGACTCATATAATCCAGTTCCAAGCAGATAATGTGGATTATCTGATTTGATAATCTGGATTATATAGCAGTGTATAAGAGGCCTAAGTCTACACTGCTAGATAATCTGGAATAAGAAGACAATCTGGCATCATATCTTGGGATATAGGACAGTGTAGATCCAGCCTGAGAATGGAGGCGCCACTGAACTTTGGCTATTCATAAAAGGGGAGTGTTCATGTTTATGTTAAACAGTGGTCAACAGTATGTGGTCTTTCCAAAATTATTGGGATTGCAAACCTCATTCACTCTTGCTAAGATTACCAATACATATTGCCCACATTGGAATAGAACGAGTAACAAACAGCTTCATTTGCATACATGAAAAAAATACCCTAATTAAAACATCTGTGCCAGGGGTTTTTAATCTTTGGCCCTTGAGGTTTTTTTGGTCTTGATTTGCTACACAGCTGCTATGCTCAGTGGGCATCTGGAATTTGAAATCCACTCCACTTGAAGTACCAAATGCCAAGAAACATTGTTTTATACAAACACTCGTGTTAAAGGACAAAGTTGGGGACCCCTTGCCAAGAAGCAGGAAAATCACATTCAAACCACCCCTGATAGATGGCCACCCAGCCTCTGCTTAAAAGCCTCCAAAGAAGGAGCCTCCACCACACTCCAGGGCAAAGAGTTCCACGGTTGAACAGAAGTTCTTCCTAATGTTCAGGTGGAATCTCCTTTCCTGTAGTTTGAAGCCATTGTTCTGCGTCCTAGTCTCCAGGGCAGCAGAAGATAATCTGGATTTTATATGGTAGTGTAGAAGTATGGTATGGTAGTGTAGCCTTATATTTAACCAGATCTCTAGCTCTTGATTAATATATGCATACATCTTTTTAAAAATTGGGACATTTTTAAGTTCCCATTTGTTTCAATTGATATTTTAAGCAAATCTTTACATTATTCCCACAAATATCAATGGGATTTATTTATACTTCGATTTGGCTCTCTTTTGAACCTGTAACACACAACACAAAACAAACAAATGAGGAGGGGAAAAAAGGACTGAGAGAAAATGATCACACCATAAAATATTTATTAAGAAACAAAGGATTTTTTTCTTCACTTGTGAGAATCACTCAAGTGCCCTTTAAGAAATTTTAAAAAATTATACCAAACAGTAACATTGGTTTTACATTATTGTACATGACATATAAAACACCACGTGTCACAAACTCTTTTTATTACAACTCAAAACATTCCTTCCCATTTCATGTAAATTAATTTCTACATATTTTCAATTTAACTTATTTTAAAAAACAAATAAATTCACCTGATTTCCATCAAAATAAAAGGGCGTGTGCAATGGATATAGTGAATGCTAGGGGTGCATCTACACTGTAGAATTAATGCAGTTTGATACCACTATAACTGCCATGGCCCAATTCTTGTAGTTTGGTAAGACTTCATTTCTCTTTTGCAGAGAAGGCTAAAATCCTTATAAAATGACAACTCCCAGAATTCCATAGCATAGATTCCTTTCCATAGTTGTAAAACTACAACTCCAGTGATTCCATAGCATTGAGTCATGACAATTACAAGTGGTGGCAAACTACAGTGTAGATCAGGCATGGGCAAACTTCAGCCCTCCAGGTGTTTTGGATTTCAACTCCCACAATTCCTATAGGAATTGTGGGAGTTGAAGTCCAAAACACCTGGAGGCCGAAGTTTGCCCATGCCTGGTGTGGATGCACCCTAGGGTAGACGGAATAGTGCAATCCTATGCATGTCAAATCAGAAGTAGATCCTACTAAATTCATTTGGMTTGACTTCTGGATAATTGTGTATAAGACTGCAGCCCAAAAGCACTCGCTTTAATTTCAGATGGAAAATCCCAGTATCTCATTTCCTAGCAGAAAATCAGTGGGCCCAATCCAGTGAGTTCCTCAACACCACCAGTTTCTTTTCGAGGAGTAACTGCTCTTTTCTCCTACAAGATGTTTGAAGCTAAACCACTCAAGCCAAGATCTAGACATTACTAATCATACAAAACAAGGTGACTGCAAAGAAAGCCTTTTGACAAATGATCAAAAGCAGATAGGGGCAAGCTTTGGCCCTCCAGGTGTTTTGGACTTCAACTCCCACCATTCCTAACAGCCTAGCAGCTGTTAGGAATGGTGGGAGTTGAAGTCCAAAAACACCTGGAGGGCCAAAGCTTGCCCATACCTGATCTAAAGGTATTGTAGCACTTTGAAGATGACGGCCAACAGAAACAGACAGGTGTCCTAAGCCAATGAATTATGATGTGTGCAAAAACTCTTATGTACACATGAAAGAGCTACCCGAATATATTAAAGAGGACATGGAGATCTCTAGATGAGAATACTGGTGTAATCTCTGCAGCGGCAGCCCTGTTTCACTCTCCAAGAGTATTCATTTTCTGTGCATTTATGATTAGTGTGTGGATGATTTTGAGGAGGAAACAGAGCAGCTTCACAGTGTTAATGTACAAGTGTCAAGATTCGGTAAACAGAAACAGATTAGATTTATTGCTCCATACAGATTTTTTTTTTAATGAGAAACTAAATCCCGGAGTGCTGCGTTTTTGAACCATCTAATGCTTTGGTGATTAACACAGACCTTCTATTTCTATACATATAAAATACTTACTGGATATTTGGTAGATGATAGAAGGAATCAAAGGAGTATAAAGCAATACAGTACAATGATCATGTCCAAGGGGGATATGACCTGAAATCCCGTGGAAACCTGAAACCGTGGATAAAAGCGAACCTTGTATTTTGATTGTACTTGTGTTGAAAACATACCGTAGAACTGTACTGGAGGATCTAGAGAGGCCCAGTGAAAAAAATGGATATTGAATCCATGGAAAAGAGGGTTAGAGTATAGCAGTATCGCAAAGGGTTAAACCCTTGCGCTGCTGACCTGAAGGTTGGCAGTTAGAATCTGCGGGATGGGCTAAGCTTCCCACTGTTAGCTCTAGTTCTTGCCAACCTAGCAGTTCAAAAATACACAAAGGTGAGTAGATCAATAGGTACCATTTTGGCAGGGAAAGTAGTCATGCCGGCCACTCGATCAGGAGGTGTCTACGGATGCAGACTCCTTGGCTTGGAAATTGAGAAAGAGCACCTCCCTCAGAGCTGGAGATGAGCACTGCCTCCAGAACCGGAATTGGAAGTAGAAGCCTTTGCCTTTGTCTGTGTATTTGTCTCTCATTGTATGTCACTGCAATCAAGGTGTTGAATGTTTGCCTTGATTGCAGTTTATATACTGTAATCATGCACTAAGTCCCTTCGGGGAGAAGGGCAGAATATAGATAGATTTGCACTGACAGTTGTTATATGCACTGGAGATTGAACTCATTTGGGAGTGGGGTTGTTTTTGACTTTTGGATTTAACTGAGACATAAATAACTGTGGTGGATCCATGGAAAATTTCTGCACTGGGGGTGATGGGGATTGAGACAGACTGCCAAAATGATCTCAAAATGAAAACAAAACAAAACCAAAACAAAAATGCCATGGATTCCATTGGGCTTTAAAAAAATCAGCTGTTGCTGTTTCTAATACTTGGATCCTTCTATTCAGAGGCAATTTACCCCCTATTTTTATAGAACAGGGTCAGTCTAAGGAATTCAAAGGATTTCAGAAATAGCCACTGGGTTGATAAAGATCCAGGGACATATGTCATCTGCCCCATATTTAACTGAAAGTTGGGCTATGAAGTTTTGCTTAAAGAAAACTCTCAGTTAAGTCAACAAATGTCATGGACACTCTTACCCAAATGCTAAGGGTTAGAGTTCTGAATTCTTAGATTTAGTTTCTAGAAATAGTCTTTGTGAGCAAACACAACCCAGTGTGAAATTCACAGTACAAAATAGGTATTGGGATTTTGGAAACAACTCATTCAGTTTGACCTGAGAACTGCTGAGGTAAAAAAAAAAAGAAAGAAAGAAAAAGAAAGCACGCCTTTACAATACACACTGGAGGTTACTGATTATTATACTTGGGAGACACGTTCCTTGTTTGGCCTAATATATCCTCAGCCATCACTGATCACACATCCTGCTTTATGCTAAACCTTTGTTCCTACTCTCAGAGCTATGTTCCCTTCCTGGAGTTTAGTTTGACATTTCTAGAACTATATAAATAACAAGGATTGCACCATTTAGCCTTCAGTCATCTGATTGTCAGTACAGCAATATGAAGTATAGTTAGACTCGGGGAGAAAAGGTAAGAAAAGACAATTAATACTAAAATATTACCTTGTACTGTATTACAGAAACATTCTCTATTAACTAGGCAACTACCATTGATTGTGAAACACCTGAAGGGCACTTGATGGCTCAGGCATTTAATCACTCTTTCACACACTTGTCTGACTGAAATGTAGATGTCTTTGCCGTATAATCCGTTGCCTCTGTAAATCATGCATTAGAAGGGAAGCATTATCTGGAAACGTTAATTCTAAGACACCCTCTTACAGTTTTTTTGGCAACTGAACCCATTTTATAAATACTGTCTGACATGCATGAGCCTTCCAGAATTATTTACAAATTATGCTCAGCAACCCTTTTTTTCTGCCCAGAAGCGTTCCTTCTCATCTGCTCACAGTCTTCTGCGGCAATGTTTTTTGCTTGTGTGCCTGTGTGGCTCCTTTGCCCTTCCCATCACCCTAATTCTTCAAAAGCTAGACAGTTACTGCTGGATACATCTTCTGTTCACTATTGCTGTGGGGGTAAGGAGACTGAATTGGCCTGTATCCACTTTGCAGACCATCCAGAAAAGTTGGCACAGGAGCCATAGGCATAGAGTCATGCTGGACAGCATATCCCACATACTGTGGATGCAGATACTGGCCTTGGTGAGGGACTATCTGTGTAGCCTGCTGGCAGTTCAGTACTGAAAAGTTAGTAGGCATGTTGACGTACACGTTATTCATGGTCCCTTCTGGTAAACAGCAATTGGTTTGTGACCTGGTAGGAGGGCCCCGGGCCCCTGAGTTGGCACTTGAGCTGGAACTAGCAGCAGTGCTTGACTGGCGAGAGGAGGACCCTCGGGAGGTGCTGGCACTTGGGATCATGGGAATAGTCTCCATTATCCGATTGCCTCCAGGCGCTCGGCTCTGTTGTGGCTCTTGCTTGGGTCGCAGGCATCGGCAACAACACGCTGCTACAAGAGATCCCAAGATGATGAAGGCGACAAAAACAGACCCAACGATCAGGAATGGCACATAAATAGGCACTGCCAAAGGAAAAAGAAAAAATATTTTTTAAGGAGATGCCACCACTGCAAAATCATGTGATTAAAAAAGAACAAGAGGCAAGTTGAGAGTGCTATGACTGGTAACTCTGGCATGAAAACAATTACTAAGCTGTGTTGTTGAAAGCTTTCATGGCCAGAATCACTGAGTTGCTGTGAGTTTTCCAGGCTATATGTCCACATTCCTGATGTTTCACCCACATCTATGGCAGGCATTCTCAGAGGTTGCGAGCTCTGGTTGTATCCGTTTCACCCATGTCATAGATCAGAGTGAAACGGCAGGCGGGAATGCTTCTGCAACATGGCCATACAGCCCAGAAAACTCACAGCAACCAAATTATTAAGTTCAATGTGACTGTGGAATTAATGCAGTTGACACCATTTTACTGCCATGACTCAATGCTATGGAATCAAATTTTGTAAGGTCTTTAGCCTTCTCTGTCAAATATCGTTGATGCATTACCAAACTATGTGTCTCACAATCCCATTAGCATTAAGCTATGACAGTTAAAGCAGTGCCAAACTGCATTAATTCTACACTGTAGATCAGGCTGTTAGGAATTGCAGCTGTTAGGAATTGCGGAAGTTTAAGTCCAAAACACCTGCAGGGCTCAAGTTTGCCCATGCCTGTTGTAGATGCACCCAATAGCAGAGTTATCACCAGTATTGGCACCTCTATATGCAGTCTCTTAACCTGTTGTTTTTTTTCCATGTCAGGAGCGACCTGAGAAACTGCAAGTTGCTTCTGGTGTGAGAGAATTGGCCATCTGCAAGGACGTTGCCTAGGGGACGCCCAGATGTTTTACCATCCTGTGGGAGGCTTCTCTCATATCCCTGCATGAGAAGCTGGAGCTGACGCATAGGAGCTCAACCCACTCCCTGAATTCAAACTGCAGACCTTTTGGTCAGCAGTCCTGCCAGTATTTATTATTTATTTATTTATTTGCTTTATTTCTATACCGCATTTTTCAGCCTGATTCGGCGACTCAATGCGGTTTACACAATACAAATTATCACAACAATATCATAGTAGTTAAAACACATCATATACAACAGACAAAACAACAATCAATTATCATATCATAACGCCTCAATAAAAATCAGAATCCGTTCTCATAATCCTTATACCGTTTTCCTATGTTCGATTTTGCCGTCTTCCTGTGTTCAGTTGCACTGTTTAGCCAAACGCTTGTTCATAGAGCCACGTCTTAACCTTCCTCCAGAACGCCAGCAGCGAAGGGGCCTGTCTGATGTCTACAGGTAAGGCATTCCATAGTCGAGGGGCCACCACCGAGAAGGCCCTGTCTCTCGTCCCCGCCAGACGCGCCTGTGACGCAGGCGGGACCGAGAGCAGGGCCTCCCCAGACGATCTTAATGTCCTAGTCGGTTCATAGGTGGAGATGCGTTTGGAGAGGTAGGTGGGGCCGGAACCATTTAGGGCTTTATAGGCTAAAGCCAGCACCTTGAATTGTGCCCGGTAGCAAATTGGCAGCCAGTGGAGCTGGCTCAGCAGAGGAGTGGTGTGCTCCCTAAGTGCCGCACCCGTTAACAACCTAGCTGTCGAGCGCTGGACCATCTGAAGCTTCCGGGCAGTCTTCAAGGGCAACCCCACGTAGAGCGCGTTGCAGTAATCTATGTGGGATGTAACCAGAGCGTGGACTACCGTGGCCAAGTCAGACTTCCCAAGGTATGGGCGCAGCTGCCGCACAAGTTTTAATTGTGCAAATGCTCCCCTGGATACCGCCGAGACCTGGGGTTCCAGGCTCAGCGATGAGTCCAGGGTCACACCCTAACCCATTGCACCACCAGTGGCTCCTTAACTTGTATTATAACCTGTATTATGTTCTCAACATGCATTTTTGCAGTAATATCTCAAATAATTTATACATATTAAAACAATTTAAATATATAATATTCATTAACAATACAGGCAACATTAGAGTTGATAATATAATTACAAAATCCAAAATGCATTACTGGCCATAATTTGAAGACAATAAGGCCAGAACATGTTTTCTAAGATTAAGGCTGCAATATGTACTTCATTTACTGGGAAACAAATTCCAATGAATTCAATGGGGATTGCTTGTGAGCTGTCATGTATAGAAATGCACAGTTTGAAGGCAATTTACAAAAGGTGGCTTAGTCCACGTGATTGTGGACTAATAGAGAAAGAGGGCTTTGAAATAACATATCTTTTTAATAATAAAGACGTAATCCCATAAGCATTACTCTTGTGAGATCTCAATTATGCTGCTTGTGCTCAATCTCTCTCCTTCTCTCTCTCACACACACATACATCCCTCACTGAAATTAATGCACAATTTCCAGGAGTGAACCCATCCTAATTATAACATGACTTCAGGCTACTTCTGATGGGTTTTTGAACAGCAGAAAAAGTGCTGGAAAACAACCAAAGCTTTTCTAAACAGAAGTCAAGATGCTGATGTTTACTTTTGAAATCAAGTCTCATAAATGCATGATTAGAAAGTGATACTATTTATTCATTAGTAATATAGGAGCAAGTAGGTTAGCAACTCATATGAACTGGATATTTTTCATCAATAAGAAACACTTTTTCTTTCATGGCTGTTTCTTGGCTTCTTTTAATTGGGAGCAAAATCAATGCAAGGAAAGTTATTAGAATGCTGGCATGTCTGGTCTGAGATGCAACGCGCCTGAGATGTCCTGGGAAATGCTGCCATCTAGAATACTAAGGCTAATGTATTTGCACTTCCCATTACAACAGAAGAAAGAGGATATGCAGAATCCAATCATCGATAAGCATGAATGAACAGCTAAGTAACATTATGCTTAGCCACTAAGGCCTGGTTTTCTCCACCTGTCTGTTTCAGAAAGTGACACAAAAAGGAAAAATTAAACATGTCATCATTTTTGTTCACAAAACTTTTTTTCTTTCATTACAAAATGTTTCCCTCTATCCTAAACAAATGATAGACAACCTATACTAACCTTCCAGATGACTTCGGCTAGCTCTACACTGTATAATTAATGCATTTTGACACTACTTTAACTGAGCCATAACTCAATGCTATGGAATCCTGGGATTTGTAATGTGGTGTGACACCAACACTCTTTGGCAGAGAAGGTTAAAGACCTTGTAAAACTACAATTCCCATTATTCCACCATACTTTTTTTTGTAAAAAGCAACTTGAGAAACTGCAAGTTGTTCCTGGTGTGAGACAATTGGCCATCTGCAAGGATGCTGCCCAGGGGATGCCTGGATGTTTTACCATCCTGTGGGAGGCTTCTCTCATGTCCCCACACGAGAAGCTGGAGCTGACAGATGGGAGCTCACTCCGCTCCCCTGATTCGAACTGCCGACCTTTTAGTCAGCAATACTGCTGGAACAAAGGTTTAACCCATTGCACCACCAGGGTTCCATTCTACCACACTGAACCATGGCAGTTAAAGTAGTCTCAGCCTATCAATTCTATAGGGTAGATGCACTTTTAGACTACAATTCCGACCACGCTCAACCAATATAGTCAATATAAATGTTGGCTATGAAAATGACAGAAGTTGTATTCAACAATTGCTTACAACTTGAGAAAGGCTAGTCTGGATTTCTGTCAGTCGAGAAAGCATTCCTATTCACTTTTGTTTTTAAAATCTTAAAGCTATATTGGCAGATGAAAGACATCAGGTCCCAACTCTATGTAGTGGGTCCAGAGAGATGGTGAGGTCTTCTTGTTCTGAAGATTTGTGTCCCATCTTTCAATGATTCTCAGGACAGTTTACACAAACAACCTCAATGTATTCCACCACAGTCCAGCAATCCTGTCTCTCTTCATAGGTCTTCTCAACTTTGACTTTTCGATTGCTCACTTTAGATGATGTTTGAAGGAACTGGAGGACCCAAGATTGGGAACCTGGATCTAGCCATGTAAGAACATATCTCCTGGGTCTACATCCTGAGAGCCAAATTAAACATTGTTTTAATTTGCAGGAGACCTAGGCCAGACTGAAACCCTGTAGTTGAAGTAGTGCTTTTTAACTCTTTATACTTGCTGATCTGAAACTTTCTTCTCTCTCCTCCCCCCTCCCTCCCTCTCTCTCTCTCTCTCACACACACACATACATATATATACAGAAAAAGAAAGTGAGAGTACAATTCATTGCATTTGGTTTAGTATTTGGAATACAAAAGTGAAAGACCATTGCTGTTAGCTGTGTTCCAAACTTTGAAGTACCTAGTTATAATGAATTACTCACAATGAACTCATTTCCACAACAACTTTGGCACAACTAAATTCAAGCATGACTATAAAATGCAACCCCATATCCATATGAGTGGTGTCCACTGTTTAAATTATCCATAGGGGGCATGGATAACAAAATATGTCCTCTGCACATTTTCTAGGTCCTCCAGTGCAATTCTATAGTATTCTTGGGTCAGAAGTCCTCCATTTCATGGTTTTGCAGATCCGCATGAAGTATTTCTGATGCAATGTCATGTAATATGCAATGAAGGGATTGTATTATAACTGGTAAACTAAACTTACTGCATTCACAGTACAGTAGAGTCTAGCTTATTCAACATAAATGGGCCGGCAGAATGTTGGATAAGCAAAAATGTTGGATAATAAGGAGGGATTAAGGAAAAGCCTATTAAACGTCAATAATGTTATAATTTTACAAATTAAGCAGCAAAACATAATGTTTGACAATGAATCAACAGAAGCAGTTCAATACACGGTACATACAGAATACAGAACATTGGATGAGTGATGGTTGGATAAGCGAGACTCTACTGTGTAACTTTAACTCCTTCACTAAATATGAGGAAGGAATGTCACATGTTCAAAATGCTCTGCATTGGGTGTTGAGCCACTGTATTGCTTCCATTCTAAGACAGATTTTTTCCTATATAAAATCTCTAAAAATTGGGTGTACCTTAGAATTGCAGGTGTACCTTATGTATTTTTTTGTGGTGATGGTACTGAAATTGGGAGTTGAA